AGAGACACTAGAAAGATACAGAACATTTTAAGTGAATACTTTAAAAACCTATTTGCTACTAAATTTGAAAGCCTAAAAGAAATGGACGGATATCTAAAGGCATGGGAACCACCAAAACTAAACCAAGAAGAGATTAACACCTTAAACAGACCCATAACACAAAAAGAAATCGAAACAGTAATACAAAACCTCCTGACTAAAAGAAGCCCAGGACTTGATGGATTTATAGCAGAAGTCTATCAGACATTTAAAGAAGATCTATATCCAATACTACTTAATTTATTCAAAAAGATAGAAATTGAGGGAGAACTTCCAAATTCCTTCTATGAAGCCAGCATCACTCTAATACCAAAGCCAGGTAAAGATACAACCAAAAAAGAAAACTATAGACCCATATCCTTAATGAACATAGGTGCAAAAATTCTCAACAAGATACTTGCAAACCACATACAGACGCACATCCAAAAGATCACCTACCATGACCAAGTTGGCTTTACTCCAGAGATGCAGGGATGGGTCAATATATGTAAGGCAATAAAACATCATAAATCACATAAATGGGCTCAAAGACAAGAACCACATAGTCATCTCAATAGATGCAGAGGAGGCCTTTGACAAAATTCAACACGCATTTATGTTCAAAGTCCTAGAGAGAACTGGACTGGAGGGAACATACTTCAACATAATTAAAGCCATATATAACCAACCCACAGCCAACATCATTCTAAATGGAGAAAAACTGGAAGCATTCTCATTGAAATCAGGAACCAGAGAAGGCTGTCCACTATCTCCAGTTCTCTTTAACATAGTGCTTGAAACATTTGCAGGAGCAGTAAGACAAGAGCAGGATATTAAAGTAGTGATAATTGGAAAAAGAAGAGATCAAATTATCCCTTTTTGCAGATGATATGATATTATATCTAAGAGATGCCAACGATTCCACTAGAAAACTCCTAGAAATTATTAACGCATTCAGTTAAGTGGCAGGTTACAAAATTAACCTACAAAAGTCTGTAGCCCCTTTACATATACCAATAACAAGCAATCAGAGAAAGAGCACATGGAAACACTCCCCTTCACAATAGCTGCAAAAAAATAATATCTCAAAATAAACCTGACATTAAAGACATTAAAGAGCTCTACAATGAAAATTTTAAATCTTTATAGAAAGAGATTGAGGAAGACATCAGAAGACGGAAGGACCTCCCATGCTCATGGATTGGAAAAATTAATATTGTGAAAATGACCATCCAACCAAAATTCATTTAAGATTCAATGCAATGCCAATCAAAATCCCCATGATATCTTTCACAAAATTGGAAAAAACAATCCTAAGATTCATACGGAAGCACAAAAGACCTCGGATAGCCAAAAGAACCCTGAGCACTAAGAGCAATGCCAGGGGGGTTACTATTCCAGATTTTAAGCTGTATTACAGAGATATAGTCATAAAAACAACATGGTACTGGCACAAAAATAGACCCATAGATCAATACA